GTACTGGTTTTATTTTGTTGTATTTATCCACGACACCTTAAAGGCCGGTCTGTGAAAATATTGTCGGACATAAACCGGTCCGTGGCGCAAAAAAGGTTGGGAACCGCTGTTATATAGGGTCTCTACCTTACAGGGTCTTGAGGCAACGGTTGCTTTGGTTTGTTGCTGTATAAATAAAACTAAAATTAAAATGAACTACTGTCTGAAATATCTCTCTGAACTTACTGAAGCGCCATCTCTGCACTTTCAGTTTGTGTTGCACCACAACTCAGCATCTAATCTGTACTGTTTGACCACTAATTAACCTTAAATTCAAGCCCAATGACATGCATGTGCATTCATGTTACCATGCTTAAGTTGGGAAGGTTCAAGTCTTAACATTAAACTTTCCAGTTAAATCGCTGATTTTTTTAAGCTGACAAAATTGTATTCATTTTGAATTTTTATTTCTTTGTACAGTGTGACTCAGTGTGTTGTCCTGTCATGAGCCTGGCAGAGTCTAATGCATAACTTTATGCTAACCTTACCGGAACAAATGCATAGCATTTCCTTTATCTGTTTCCCTGTGATTGGCACTCGTAAGCTTCGTGAGCATCAGGTGTCAGATCATATTCTCAAAAATGTTCTGAAACCCAGCAGCGGAAACCCTGACTGGCATTATTCTCATCCATGGACATGTGGAGGTTTTCCAAGTTTTCCACCTCAGTGGGCAACAGAGGAGTGAGTGCAGTGTCAGCATCAGTCTGAAGATATTTTGTCTTTCTGGTCATTCATTTGTCATTTCTGCCTCATTCCCCTGAGTCTTATCTACCATTTGCTTTCATTATGATTGACTTTGAGTTCTAATAAATATGGCTCACTATCAAAATGTAATGACTTGTGGCTATAATAGAACCTAGGTCACAATAACTGGACCATGTTCTGGATTTGAACCCCGACCTGTTAATAGAATTTGACAGACCATTTCTCATATTGACAGTAACATTACTTTCATCTACACA